CATGCTGGGTTCTGCATTCCTCACTGGAAGGTCTTCCTGGTCTTGTGTCCTCCTGTGTCCTGTTTGCTTAGCTTTTGCCAGTCGTGATTTCTATGCTTTGCTGACAGTTTTTTTCACGCAAAGTTAATTGAAAACTTTTCCTCTGATTTTTCCTTTTGGCATGGTCTGCACGGTAATCTATTAATTGAAACCGTAATGGATGCAAGTCAGATGAGGATACTTCCTTCTAAGGGCTCTGGCCAGAAGATTAATTTCTAGCCACAGCGCTATTGTAAGTGGTTGTGTGAGGTTGGACAATTTCTTTTGCTGCTTTGAACTTTCTTTTCACCATCTCTAAAAACATCTGCAAACCACTTTAAGCTCTGCAAGCAGAAAGCACTGTGTGAACTGAAATTTATGATCCCGGTTGCTTTTACCCATAGGACCTACTGAGTTCTGTAAGCAGAAGTACACAAAATAACACGTTACCCCCAAGCCCTGGTTTTTCATGTTGGGTGTTGGAGTGCAGCCAAAGGATTCTTCATCCAGCTTCGTAAACTCTTCTGGCCGATTGCTGAATGCTGCCAGCCTGATGCTTCTCATCCCGGTCCCGAGTGCTTCCTATGTCTGCATACCCTGACTCTGGGAGTCTGTGCCTCAACAGGCGCTAACTTCCAGGCTCCTCCACTGCTTGCTCTAGCACATTTATAGCCATGACTCAAGATCCCAGTTTCCTAGTTCTTTTTGAGAATTGTGAAGTACAGCAAGTTTCACAAATGTCAAACAAAAATGCATCTTTCTTTTTAATTTTAACCGGGTAGAATCACTTTATAAGTTCCTGTTCTTCTAGGTGTTCTTGCCAGGAAAACAGATTTTTTTTTAAAGGCAAGAAATCTTTAGAAGTGGTTTATTGGTATGAATTGCTGGCTGTGCTTATTACTCTTACTTCATTAATTATAAAGTATTACTTCATCAATAAAAAAGATGTTGTACTGTATAAATCTTCCTGCCATATTTCAATTGATCTCTTGAAAGCCTAAAACCTCTTTAAGATAGATCTGTACTTGCACAGTGAACTTGCAAACTTCACTGTTTTGGTTTATTTCAGACAGATCGTTGATTGTGGCAGCTCAACAGCAACAGCATAAACGGCTGGTAATGAAGTGAATATGGTTCCATATTAATCTCTCCTTTGTTTTTCTTTGCTAAGGGGGAAAGGGGAGGGAAATAGCTGTACTCACCATCTCTATGAAATGAGTATGTGAGGCTGGTGGAGGAAGAGTGTTCCCAGGTGTCTGAAATACTCCCCTCTAGTAACTTGATCTTTTTCTGCTGGTTTTCTGTTATTAGGAAACTTTGAAAAAGAATATATTGAAACATTTGCTTGCCATGGTATCTGCTTTCTGCAGCGCTCAGATAATGTCATGTCGGGCAAAACTTTCCTCGTAAATCAAAACTTTGCAATAGCAGAAACATTATGCAGGTAAAAACGTGCAAAGAGTCCTCGGCACGGCTTGCTGCGAGCTTAGTACAGGCTTGTACAGTTAGCAGTATGTACTGGCCATTTTCAAGGAATTGCATTGTTTATTTTTCTCACTCTTTATCACGATTTTCATTAACAAAGACACACCCTGCCTATACAAAGGCAGATCTTGGCTCTAAGCACATTCCAAGGCACTCTTGCCCTTTTGCAGCAAGACATGTGTGTGGGCCGGGCACTCTCCCTTCTGAAAGGGTGTCTGTTCACCACCCCGCAAAAGCCAACGCTTTCTGCATCTCTCTCCTCCCCCCACATTTCCTAATGTGATTTGTACCTCTGGATTTACAAATAACACCAGGGGGGAGATTTGCAAGAGTGCCTAGCAGTGGCCAGGGGGTTCTGATTGAAGTCTAATCAGTCTGATGCAGAGAACCAAGAGGGTTTCAGTTTGCTTTACGTTGCCGTGCTCTTCAGTTCCCATTTTCTGTTGCTTATGAGATGTGAAAGCAATTATAATTTAAGAGTTGTATGCCTGCAGCAAGGTGAGAGATACTTTGCTTTTTTATGTGTCTAATCTCTACGTATGCCAAGAGTTGTGTGCGGTGGACCAAGGTTGAACATGGCTCAGTCGTTTGAGTTCTATAGGGGAAGGTATGGTTATAAAATTTAAGGAGCATCAGAGCAAACTTTTCCAGACACAGATGTTTCAAGAAATAAAACAGTAGGCTCTGACTTTTTGATGAGTGAAAACTGCAGAGTTTGTGCTCACACCAAGCTGGGCTCTAATTACTAAAGCATTACTAGGTTCATATTATCCGTGGGGGAAATATGACTGTAACACAAATAAGGATTTTGTGTTTTCATTGGATATTAAATCAGCCTCTTCATGTCTTCAATAGAGCTAAATATTGGGTAAACACGAATTTTGGGAGGGTGTTGCACAGACAGACAGAAGGCAGCTGAGAGTCTGCAGCATGGCCATTAAAATACCCTAATTGCTCAGGCAAAGTGATGTTTTCCCCAGGTCTCGCTAGAGTTAAACTTGGCGAGCAAAGCTGAGAAGCAGTCTGGTGACTCGGAGGGCTGGCGGCCGCTGCACCGGGAATGTTGGCCGAAGGCTGTGCCAGGCGTTTCCACCGAAGCCAGGCAGAGATCCGCCTTCGGCAGCTGTGGGCACTTGGCATGGGGAGGAGGCAGAGAGATCCCCTTTGTAAGTCCTATACCTTTTTTGGTGCTAAGCAGGAGAAGTTCTTCCCTGGCTTTCCAGGGCGTGGGCTATTGATCAGCCGGGCTCTTTCAGCAGAGCCAGAAGACTGCTGCCTCACGAGCATCAGAAAATGGGGTGACTCCCCTGCCTGAGTTCTACCAGGGTATCCCAGAGGAGAGTGGCTGCTCCTTCCAGCCCTGCGACGCTAGGTCATGAGCAAATGCATCAGGATGGGCATTTGCATATTGCGTGTACCAGGGCAGCGTGTGATAGGAGTAGACATTACTGATGCCTCTACCAAACAGCCTCAATCCACACCCAAGCATCCACATCCCTTGGATTTTTGGGTATCAAAGTACTTCTGTGGGCAAGCTCGTGGGTTTGATCTGCTGTCTCCTCTATAGAGAGTCACTTCAGAGTTTGTTCCTCATAACCTCCTTCCTAATGAGACTGTATTACTTGATATGCAGGTGATAGTGTTACGACCTATGACTGTTTTCTACTAGTAGGCTCATTTCTGTGCTCGTCTGCTCCTTTTCCTCGAACGCCTCCCCGCTCGCTTTCCGCTTGTGCGTACACCAGCCGCGCTCGCCTCCCCGCGTGCTGCCTCGTGGCTGCGTGAGGCCCCGCACGCGCCCACCCCCTTGGGTTGTACTCGGTTTCCAAGCCAGGGGCCACGTGTGAACACAGGTATACTCCTCCAAGAGCTGTGATACCGGGCCTGGTTGGAATTTCAAATCAAGCACGACAAGCAGCTCCTTTTCCTTTTTAAGGTGCAGAGGCCAGGTGGCCTGGCCAGCGCTGAGCTTTCAGCCTTGGCTCTGCCTTTCCTGACCCCTGTGTGCTTGGCTTCTCAACCTTGACGCTGCATTCACGCTAACCTTATGCGAAGGCCGTGTTGTATTTTACCGTGCTGCTGCTGTTGTGGGCAGCAAGGGAGTTAAGTCACCGCAAACGTCGGTGTGCAAAGGCCGGCTGAAGGGCGAGGAGTTTTCCTCCAAGGGCCGGCAGTTGGCTGGGACGAGGATGCCACAGAAATGGTGCCACGAGGGAGATGTGGGGAGTAAACCAAAGAAGAAACTGGGAAGGGGAACCTCGTGTCAGGGCTTTCCTCAGAGCAGGCTCTGAGTTCAGGGATGAGGGTTAGCCGTTTCGATTAGCCGCTCGTTTTCCTTTTTACGTTGTCCACTGGTGACTTACGACAAGGTGGCCGCTACCATTCAGGATTTGACTGAAGAGAGGTGCCGATGGACACGTAAGAAGCTAAAAGATTTCCTAAGTCTAAAGATCAGCGTAGAGGAAGGCGTGGAGTCCAGGGAGGAAGAAGAGGTGTCAAGGGACCATGAGGAAGAGGAGGAAGGAAAGAAAGCAAGAGCCAAGCTGTGCACTGTGCTGAGCGGGGATCTGGAGTGTGGGCGGTGTGGCTGGGAAGGGAGGAAGACAAGGAATCGGTAAGGGCAGTGGTTTGTTCCCAGGACCCAGAGTCAGAAGAGGATTTTCAGAAGCGGAGTTTGGTTTGGCTTATTGAAGAAATGAAAGAGAAGGAGTGGCCCAGGGTGCGGAATTTAAGAGCTAGAGGTGCAACAGTGGATGTGGGCGTGGGCAGCGCAAAGTTCCCTTTTGCCATGAAACCCAGTTGCTGTATCTTTGGGATAATTTACCTGAAAGGCCATATGATATTTGATCTCCTACTGCGGCAATTTCTTTCACTCCAAATGTCGTATTTATCCCAAAGTAGAGAAATGGCATGCTGTTTTAAACAAGCCAGGATTAGCCACGTGCTCTAATACACTTCGGCACTGGATAAAAAGTCGAGCAGCAAATCGCTTTGAGGGATTAGTAATTGGATAGCGAGCCTTTTGCTTTTAGGTGAGTTGTGTGAAACGGCGGCTCCGGTCTCTGTCTGGCTCCCAGTGGACAGGTTTCCAGGGAGCCAGGCTGGACAGCCAGGCAAAACCATAGGCACAGAGAGCAGTCCCACCTTCTTAGCCCTGCTTATTCTTTCTGAACAGAAGTGGGAGAATACTGGTGGAGTGGGGGAGCACGGGGTTGTCTTTGCTTCCTTCACTTGCCTCCGAGTAATGGAGGAACGTGAGAACTCTGGAGATAAAAGGAGGAATGTAGCACTTGACAGCTGCATTTTAAGAAAGATACCTGGATCTTTACAGCAGCACTTGAAGGGAAGGCATGAATTCAGGTAACTCTTATGTCCTGGGTGGGTGCATACCTTTAATTACACATTCAGACCAAAGCATATTAATAAAGCAAAATAGTTAATTTCTCTATTTTTGAATAATTTTTCAGCTTTGCTGACAAACCTGTCCTAGAAAGGAGGTACAGAGCTCTTGAAGAGTGGCAACTTTGCTCGAAAACAGAGATCTCTCTCTCGCTACCACCATGGTGGTATTTGAGCACCTGCTGCTGCAGAGAGGTAGAAGAGAGTAAACCATATGACAACATTTCTTTTTCCTTCTGTCACTCACAGCCCTACACAAATGCACCCAGTCTGGATTTAGTTCAACACACCAGGCTCCTTCCAACTTTCTTATTATCCCCAAACCAAAACTTGCTCAGCAGAAACTCCTCTTCTTGTGCACAGCACTGGGCACGTTCTTTCCACTTACTGAGGAATTTATAGACCTTGTGGCAAAGAGTTAAAGGTCTTTGCTGATAGAGGTGGAGAAAAGAGATTCCAGAAGCAGAACTGCAGAAGAAAACTACTTTGTACCCTATTGTACTATAAAGACATTTTACTCTAAGTTATCTTCAATACCTCCTGATAGGTCTTTAAGCCTTTCAGCAAACGATGACCTCTAATGCAAGAACTGTGACTGCCAGGAAGTCTTTGGAGCTGGGCGGTATCTGCAGCGAGTTGGCAGAGAAAAAATAAAGAGTGTGACCGCAGCGGGGAGAGCAGGGTGGCGGCCAGGAGCGGCAGCTGCCCGCGGCATCCTTCCAGCAGATGTTCTGCTCTCCAGCAAAAGCCAGCATTTCGCAGGACTCCAGCAGCACTTTGCCTGGGGAGCTGATTTGTTGTAGCTATGTCTGTTTGAAGAGAAAATCCACAACTTCGAAACTTTCCCTTCTACAGTTCTTGGATAATAAGGTTACCTTTTTATTTTTGGAAGCCTGGCTTGAATATCTTTGGAATATTGTATTGGAATGCAAGTAATCCCACTCCTTTGATGCATAATAGCTTGAGATTTGTAGCATCTAAGATTTCATGGACATTTGGAGTCAGAAACTGCAGAGGAGAGGGGCATTGCAGGTACTCGATCTCATTGTCCAACGGGGTATTCTTAACACATGCTAAATTTGTAAAAGGGCAAACACCAAAGTTTGTCAATGATCTGCATTTTAGGAGGGATTTACTGTTCACAAGGTTCTGAAAAGTGGTACCTGAAAGATCCTGACCTCCTTTACAGACTCCTTGGAGGAGTCTTGGTTCATTAAACTCCACTGCAAAGACCAAACAGCCATTTTCCTCGTTTGCTATTTAAATTAGGCAACTATTAGTGCAAGACACCAAACTCCCCAAAGGATCTGGGGAAAGCTGCTGTGCAGAAAAAGCAGTGATAATGAGAAGAAATGATTTAAAAGTAAGTAATTTGCACACTTAGCCTATTTTTTTTTAATGCACAGAATTTTTTTTCACCTGTAGAAATGCATTTGCTGGCTTTGCAGTCTCAAGGCAGCTTAGTTACAATTGTCACTTTTTAGAAGGAACTTTCAACATCTGATGGAAAATGCAAGCTGAAGTGTGGTTTGCCTGCAAAAGCTTCTGTAACCCTGTGGATTTTATGTGGTTTTATCACATGATGCTTGCCTAGCCTAGGACATTGTTGTTTGTGTCAGAGATAAAATGCAATTCTAGTTCACGAGTTCCTACTGAAGTCATATGATGATCGTTCACATGCTCCAGCCATTGTGTACTCTGCTCAAGCCACAGATACTAGCCATTAGCAAATCTACATATTGCATGAATTCAACGTACTCACCGCGATGTCGTAACGAGAGGATACTACTATGGGAGGCTGTGTGTGTCTGTAAAGCCCAGGACTCTGCGGCTAGCGAAGGCTTCCTTCCCCTCTGCCATGGAATTACTGATTTGTCTGCACATTTTTCCTTCAGGCTGTCTGTGGCAGCAGCTCTCTGATGGGAGCAGTAGTGCAGGCTGCCGCGTGGAGCTCGATAATCCCTGGCATTTTCTGCTGTTTTGCTAAATCTCACCCACAGTTAGGGCCAAATAAAAGTCACCTGTCCCTAACTGTGGGGTGAGGTTTAGCAAAAAAAAAAAAAAAAAAAAAAAAACCAACGAAAACAACAAGTAATGTGCGCAGCCTAGGACAGATGCGTGGGATTCCCGTCTTGCCCTCATCAAAATCCCCCGCAGCAGTACGGGCAGTTGCCTTTTTGTACAGTTGTTGCTGATTATTGAGCAGAGTCATCAAGTTACCAACCTGTGCCTTGGCTATTTCACGCTTTTCTTTATGCCTTTTTCTTTTTTTTTTTTTTCCATAGCTATTAAGGATTGAGACACATTTATGTTTTTCAGTGAAGGGGGGAACTTGTGATGTGGACCTGTGAGTCCAAAGATGAAGCTGTGACATGTAACAGCACTTCTGTATCTCCATCTGTCCCTTGAACCTTGCTTCCAGTAGGGTTGGCTTCCAGCTTGCCCTCACTGGCTTGGTGATTGTATAGGAAATGTTAAATAAGAAAGTCTCAGGTTAGAGTTAGTACGTCATTTTGAGCAGTGTGGACTAATTCTGTCTCCTAGTGCTGCCCACTAGCAAATGTCAATAATGCCAGCCTTACGTGGGTGCGTTGGACTGTGGTGAGGATATGAAAAATGCGTTGAGTTCTTTAGGTGAAGAGGGTTGCCTAATGCTAGCGTGAATGGCATTAGCTAACGGGGATGCTGATTCTGCTCAGGATGCTGAGATTCAGTGGGGAAATCGCAAATGTTTTTAGGTACTGAATGAAACAGCAGTGGAGCATCTCCCGTGCCAGTGACCGATAATACCGCGCGTGTAGAGTGGGCACAGACGCTGCCCATCCTGCATGTCGGTTCCAGCTCCATCTGAGCCCTCCAAACTCCCTTTTTTGCTATGCTTGCTGTCCCAGTATCTATTGGAAATCACCCCTTGGACCATTTCTCCATCATTTTGTGAAACTTTTCTGGCTTCTCTGTAACTGTGTTTTTCAGCCTTGTCCATTTTTCAGCCTCACAATTCCCTTGTACTGAAAAGGAGAGGAACATGTCACCTCTGTGCCACTCCAGGGGACTTAGACGCAGCTAGGGAGAGATCTATAAAAATAGTATCTTTTCTCTCCACTTATCCTTGTAACATGAATCTCTCTTGAATTCTGTGGTGTTCTTCCTCAGTTATTCCTAATCAGTCTGCTTTCCTGTACATGGTGAATGGCTCCTTGTCGTGATCTGGCCAGCCCCGTCACTCTGGAGGGCTGTCCCCATCACACCGCTGTGTCATCTCCGCCCCGGGGGGCACCAGGAGCAAGGAGAAGACATCTGGAGCCTATCGTTGCCATCCTTCCTTTAAACACTTTGGTGCCATCCTTTCTCCTAAGCCTGGGTCTAAAAAGGCCATTTGTAAAGCTTCAGAGACACATGGCTACTTAGGAAAACGGAGTTGGAGTGACCTGTTAGCTCCTGGCTAACTGGAAGTAAATCAGCTCAGCTTTCCTTCGTACAGCCAGGCTGCAAGAGACACTAATAGATATTCTGTTAACTGTTTTCCTGAGGCATAAGCCTTTCAGCTGTTAAATATCTTACCTAAGCAGGTAAGTGAAATGCTGCTACAGAGCGATTTCAGGCCGTGGGTCTTAGTGTGTCACGTATGTTGTGTGTATTTCAGAAACTCTGCAGCGATGCTCAGGTGAGAGTCTTCGGGAAATGTTGCCAACTGAAGCCCGGAGGAGACAGCTCTTCTTCCTTGGACAGTTCAATCAATTCATCCTCCTCATTCTCTGATCCAAAAGAACAATGCCCAAAATACCAGGTGAGTCACTTTTTTTTTTTTTTTTTTATTTTTTTTTTTTT